AACACTGTCTAAACACTTCCATACTGAGTACTGTTATATTTAACAGTAGTTATATTTATACTATTTTCACACTAGGAACTAGAGTGTATTTAGTAGGCACTATGTAGTATAAACTGTGCAGTAAGCATGTTAAATAAGTGAAAGAAACAATGTGAGAGAGAGTTTAAAAAACACTTGTCACTGCTGGAAAAGTGAACATACTATCCACTACGTGTGTATGTGTGTGTGCGTGTGTGTGTTATTGAAGGGATTCAGTGTCTAAACACTGTAAAGTCCAGGAGTCAATGTGAGTTCAGGAACAGCAGACACATGTTCTGTCTTTCACTCAGTTTATTTCTCTTTTCTTCTCTCTAACTCTCATTTTCTAATGTTCTCTCCCAGAGGAACATTACTCAGAAGCCACTCTTAGATAATGAATTTCTCGGTTGTGATTCATTAAAGTATTTCATTTCTCAAGATATTTCTCCTAAAAATCTTTGGTAGAAAAATAGTTGAGAATGTACAGTACTGTAAGAGTATAGTGCATCTAATAAACAGAGATAGCAAATACCAGATACATTTTCCTTGGAAGAACTTGATTTTTTTTTTTTTTTAGTTTGTTGACTTTAGATTCTGTACTTCTCCTCAAATTCACTTTTTACAGTAAAGAGTTGGCACAGATAGCAATGCCAAGGTTGTGGTTTAGATTACCAGGGAATGCATGAATTAATGAAATGTATACCTTGAATGCAATGTGAGTTGCTTTGGATAAAAGCGTCTGCAAATGCATAGATTATTAAGTAATGCTACAATTATTAAATATGAATGCAAATTGCCGACTGCATCTGATACTGAGGAAAGTTCTCCACTTCTCTCTGAAAATCAATGCTGACAGATATTCTGTGAAGCATTCATTTGTAGATGTGTGTGTGTCTGTGCTGTTCCACTGAGAAATCTGGTTGCTATAATGAATGAGCCAATTTGACATATTTCCACAAACACACTCACACATGACACACACACACACACACACACACACACGCACACACAGACACACACAATCGTCTTTTCCAGTGGTGATGTGTGACATCAGGTTCCTGTTTGACAGGACTGTGCAAAACTGCTGAAAGTTAGAGGATTTTAAAGCGTTTATACAGTCAGATAATAATGATTCACCACTGAGATCTAAAATATGAATGCAGCGCAGGATCTATAAACATAATTTACTGATAGATATACTGCTGTTCAAAAGTTTGGGGTCAGTAAGATTTTTTCAACATTTTTTAAAGAAGTCTCTTCTGCTCACCAAGGCTGCAATTATTTGATCAAACAATACAGTAAAACCTGTAAAATTATGAAATATTATTACAATTTAAAATAAAGGTTTTCTATTTGAATATATTTTAAAATGTAATTTATTCCTAAGATCAAAGCTGAATTTTCAGCGGCGTTACTCCAGTCTTCAGTGTCACATGATCCTTCAGAAATCATTCTAATATGCTGATTTGTTGCTAAAAACATTTCTTACTATTATCAATATTGAAACTCATGCTGCTTGATATTTTTGTGTAAATCGCCATTTGTTAAGGTTTCTTTAATGAATATAAATTTATTTGAAATAGAAACCTACATAAGATTTGTAAAAATAAAAAAAAAAACAGATTTTCACACAGGATTATGGAAATGAAAAGTTGATTGTCCATTACAATAATATTTACTTTATATATTGCCCTCCCCATCTTCCTCTTTTTGAATAAACAATTTAAATATGTTTCATTGTGAAACACAGATTAATCAATCAAATTAATGGCAGAAGCCAAAAAAAAGTGGCATACTCATGCTGCTTGATATTTTTGTGTAAATCGCCATTTGTTAAGGTTTCTTTAATGAATATAAATTTATTTGAAATAGAAACCTACATAAGATTTGTAAAAATAAAAAAAAAAACAGATTTTCACACAGGATTATGGAAATGAAAAGTTGATTGTCCATTACAATAATATTTACTTTATATATTGCCCTCCCCAACTTCCTCTTTTTGAATAAACAATTTAAATATGTTTCGTTGTGAAACACAGATTAATCAATCAAATTAATGGCAGAAGCCAAAAAAGTGGCATTATCTGAAAAGAAAAAAAATGAACATGTTGTATTAACAGCAAGCATCTGTGGCATGATCTCTCTGAACAGATCATTTAGTCTTCTCTCGTTCTCTTCAGCTCTCACTCTCTGAATCCCCATCCGTCACTTTCCCGCCCGGCTCTCACGCTGACGCAGGACTCTTTCCTTTAAGCTCTTACTCTCATTGTTCACTGTGACCCAAAGCACAATCTTCCTCTTCCACACACTTCCTGCTTCCTGATTCACAGGAAATGCTGTGCAGAGCCATTTCCTCCACTTATTTGGACTAATACATTCAGAATCAGGCTCTTTCGTTCTTAATATTTACTTTATATTTTGCCCTCCCCAACTTCCTCTTTTTGAATAAACAATTTAAATATGTTTCATTGTGAAACACAGATTAATCAATCAAATTAATGGCAGAAGCCAAAAAAAGTGGCATTATCTGAAAAGAAAAAAAATGAACATGTTGTTTTTATAATTAACAGTAAATGAACGTGTGAAATGAACAGCATCTGTGGCATGATCTCTCTGAACAGATCATTTAGTCTTCTCTCGTTCTCTTCAGCTCTCACTCTCTGAATCCCCATCCGTCACTTTCCCGCCCGGCTCTCACGCTGACGCAGGACTCTTTCCTTTAAGCTCTTACTCTCATTGTTCACTGTGACCCAAAGCACAATCTTCCTCTTCCACACACTTCCTGCTTCCTGATTCACAGGAAATGCTGTGCAGAGCCATTTCCTCCACTTATTTGGACTAATACATTCAGAATCAGGCTCTTTCGTTCTCTAACACGTACAATAAAAATGTGGATCTAAGAAAATCTTTTCAACTCCACCGTGTGTGTGCATCAGAACACACATCACAAACTGATTAAACCCTGTAAGCATTACAATGTCAATGTGTTAGAACTGGAAACATGAATGCTACGTCCACCAGACCTCTTTTCATACTCTGATTTAATCTGATGGTTCAAATCACCAACCCATAACTTATAACCCCCACCCACAGCCATTAAGCAGACTTAAAGAGATAGTTCACCCAAAATGGAAAAGCTGTCATCATTTACTCACCCTCATGTCCTTCCAGACCGGTATGAATGACTTTCTTCTGTGGAAAACAAAAGGAGAAATATAGCAGACTTCACGGGGAATGATGTGGTTGAGCTCCAAAGAAAGACAAAATATAACCATAAAATAATCCAAATGATGTCACATCAAGCCACACACACACACACACACACACACACAGGACTAAATTTAAGATTTATGTACTGTATTTTAACTGCACAAAAATTAATTTAGATTACACAAATTAACAGACCAATAAATGTGATGTGTATTTGTCAGTCGTACATAAATGAAAGATTTTTGTTTTAAATACACAATAACCAGATTTATATATCATCAGTAAATCCAATTAGTTTAAATCTTAATATTGCATTGACTATTGCAACTGAACATCACTTGTTCCACAGCTAGCCGCATTGAACCATGTTAATTTTTTGTAACTAAACAAATTTGTTTTTGCGGTGAACAGATTTATGCTGATTCGAAAGCAATTTGAATAATATGATTATTGAAATAGAATGAAATAGATCAAATAGTCAACCAAACAATGCCACAATTTTGCATTACTTGTTTTATGTTCAAACTGTGTAATCCAAATGGTTGGAAATTTTATATGCAATTCAAACACATAAATCTAAATTTAGGAATAAATGTTTTAGTGCATACCAGTTTTTTTGTGATACATTTTTTTTTTGGAAAGACTTATGTAATGACTTAAATAATGACTAAAATCTAGCATATTCCACAGATATTGCTGGCTAAGATTTTTTTCTATTTATTATTATGAATTTTTATTTTTTTTACAGTTGTTTAGTTTTTTGTAACAATGTTAAAGCCTTTACTGCCACTTTTCGATCAATTTAAATACGTCCTTGTTGAATAAAAGTATTAATTTATTGCTTTCTTTCTTTATTAAAAAAAAAAAAAAGCCTAAGTGGTAGTACATGACAGTATGGCAATAAATCAACCAGGCTACATCAGCAAATGTAATTTTAAGGGTCAAATCAGCCAGGAATCTCTCCTGAAGGTGCCACCTGACCTGCACCGTTTCACTTCCATATTCTTGTAAATATTCCTATGATATTCCAAATATTAGTAGTTGAAATCACAGGGCCAAATTGGCGCCGTTTCTGCAGATCACCACAGTGTGTTTGTGTCCGATAGAGACGTGATTACCCGTAGAGGCACTTGAGGGGCATGAGGGGAGTGTTTGTGCAGCCAGAGGGTTTATCAGCTCCAAACACTCGCAGGATTTCCGGTCTGGGGTTGTCCGTCCAATTCCTGAGTTCCACAGGAAGCGTGGAATAAAAAGCAGGAGAAAAACGCCCAAAAGCATCTCATTCCTCGCCAGTCGGATCACGGGGAGCATCGAGATTTTGACCGCACGGTGCTCTTTATCAGAGAGAAGAAGAGTTTATAAGAAATGGTGGCGATGGAGGAGCGCGTCAGAGCGCGCGACAGGTGGATCGAATGGCCTCGAGCGCAGCGCGACATCACGTGATTTTATTAACAAGGTGAGTGTGTAAACGTGTATTTATATCGGCATGGGGATTTTCTTTGATTACACTTTCGGTAAGCCTTTGAACATTACATATGGAGCAGTTCATATAAAATTCAATATGAATGATATATGAAATTAAAGTTTCATAACTATTTAAACGGACGATGTAAAATGATGTTTTTTTTTTGGAAACACTTAATGAAAAAAAAACTTAAATATATTAAGTTTAAAAACGTGCAATAATTATTAAAAATAGTTTTAACGAAAAATAGTTTATACAATTTTAGAAGATGTGATTTTTGGGAAGCTTTTTAAATCAATTTTTCAATACTTTATAAGTTATAAAATTAAATCTTTTTCATTATACACAAACACACCAACTTTTTTCATGATCGTGAAGACATGCGCATGCATTTTAGGCATTTCATATTTGTCTACAAACCTAATTTCAAGCATTTAACTATTCATAAATTCAGTCAGGTAGTGACTAGTGTATATAAATACGTTATCGTATTCCTTTATTGATTTATTAACAGCAAATAATATTTGTATCTGGAAGTGGCGTGTTTTTTTTTTTTTACAGAACTACTGTAAGTTGGCCAAAAAAGATTAAAGCATTAAAGCTTCATTCCCGTTCTCTTTTATTTTTTCTCCTTTATTTCTCGGTGTGTGACCCGGTAAACTGAGCTGCTGCGGGTGACGTCACGCGGCGCGAGGGTCTCCCGTGAGCTCTTGCGTGAGTGTTTCTCCCGGGACGTCCCAGTGAAGGAGGGGCAGTAGTGGTGTGGTTACCCCCCTGCACGCTTTGACAGTTGTGAGAGAACTGAGTGTGCAAAAACTCCTAAACACGGAGAGCCGAGCCACGGGAAACGCGCGCAGGAATTGCCAGTGCGAGTTTGGGCACACGTGTGTTTTTGGACTATTTATAAGATTATTCCAGTCCTGGCCTCTGAGTTTGGTGGGAAACTTTGTTTTGGGACGCGCCGGGGGACCAGTCTCTTTCTTTTCCTTCTAACATCCACGCACGAGCGGTTAACTTACTCTCGTGGATACGAGTGATTCAGTGAGTCATTGTACACATACTTTATTTGAAATTGTTTATGTAAATTCGTGCATGCGTCATGCACTTCAGTATTATTTCTTTTGGCATGCATCAGTTTAATACAGGTCATTATGTGTGTTTGTGTTACTATAATTATAATTAGATTAGACTGAACTGCATCAACACTGCAATCTGTGAATGGTCGCATATAATGCTGTAGAGAAACAGCGCCGCCTGCTGGTCGTTTACTGATAAAGCGGTCAAACTGCATACTATACTTACAACAAACTCTGTTCAGAATTGCATACCTCTATTATTTGAATTATGTAGCATGCATACTGTGCATAGTTTGAGTACAATACTCGCATAACCAAAATGCGCACTACAGGTTGCTGTATCCCACAATGCAATGTGCTTGACTTGATCTTCTGTTTCCAGTGATGAATTGCTTTTTGCAATTGCTTTTTGAAACTATTATAAATGCATATTGCATGATATATTGATTTTTGTTTCACAGTTTAAGAAATAGTATGCAGTATATACCGCACACTAAGCAGTATGCTAGTGCTTCATTCCAAATATAAGCACACACACTAACCGCTGGCCTTCCATTAGTCCAAACTGCTTCCGCTTCTAATTAGTGCCATTATTTGTGATTATATGCAGTGATGTGGATCTAAATGCCGGTGTGTGTTGACATACAGAGTTTTTCATTCATTTTGAGGCTTTTTTTGTGGTTTGGCATTTTGTTTAAATGTTCAATTTTTTTATTTTTTTTTCCGGTCGTTTACTTTTACAAATATCTGAAAATTCCTAAAACAAGATGCATTTACACGAGAAAGAAAATTAAATATCAAAACTTCAATGAATTTGTTTAAAAGAAGAAAAATATCTGCAGCTTACACTGTTTGTTCTTGTTTTTAAGCATAAACTCACTTAATTTTGATACATTTGTCAGAAAACAATATGTCATTTTGCTTCTAAAGTAAATGAATCTTGATTTATGAATGTTTAGATATTTGTACTGGAAAAAAAGACAAAAATACTGAGTGAGAAAATCTTTTTTTTCTTCTTCTTCTTTTTTGCACTGTACCCTTGTTGCTCTGTTATTGTGATTTAATGATGTTGATGGAAATGCTGGAAGTTTGCACCATTATATATATATATTCTTTATTCTCCCTTAAAAGAATAGTTCACCCAACAATGGACATTTACTCATCTTCAGGCCATTCAAGATGTCTCTTCATCAGAACAGATTTGAAGAAATGTAGCATGACATCACTTGCTCAGCAATGGATCCTCTGCAGTGAATGGGTGCCGTCAGAATGAGAGTCCAAACAGCTGATAAAAACATCACAATAATCCACAAGTCATCCACTCCACTCCAGTCCATCAATTAACATCTTGTAAAGCAAAAAGCTGCATGTTTGTAAGAAACAAATCCATTATTAAGACTTTTTTAACTTTGCTTCCAGCAAAAATACAAATCCTCTATCCATAATATTGCTTCTTTCAGTGAAAAAGTCTTCTCGTGTGGATCAGGAGAGAAATACGCACAGATCAAACAAGTCAAAATAGTCCAAAACAGTTCTAAACAAAATATGTCAGTGCATTTTGATGTGAGAGGACAACAGTGAATGGACTTTTTCACTGGAGGAAGCATTATTAATGATTATGGACTTGTATTTTGTCCAGAAGCAAGGGTTAAAATGCTTTAATGATAGATTTGTTTCTTACAAAAACGCAGCTTTTCACTTCACAAGATGTTAACTGATGGACTGGAGTGGTGTGGATTATTGTGATGTTTCAGCTGTTTGGACTCTCATTCTGACGGCACCCATTCACTGCAGAGGATCTATTGGTGAGCAAGTGATGTAATGCTGAATTTCTCTAAATCCAATGAAGAAACAAACTCATCTGCATCTTAGATACCCTGAGGATGAGTTCATTTTCAGCAAATGTTCATTTTTGGGTGAACTATTCCTTTAATAGCTAATTATCATCCCTCATCTTGCTTGAAAGACTCATTTAGTGTAAATCTATTGGTGTTGCCGCATCACAGCACAATTACAAGATGCACAATTTGTTACACACACTGCTTTCCAGAGAGCGCGAGTCAGAGATCTGGCAGCATTTACATACGACACGTGGTAAGTGTTTACATATGACGGTGATCAGATGAATTGTGGGAGACGCACACATATACAGCGTCAGCAACTGAAACAGCCTGTAGGTACGCACCTGTAGCAATTATTAAGCGTTTGGCAGGAGATCTGTATGAAAGTCATCCAGAAGGCCTAAACCACTTTACTGCCTTATTGTGGTGTCGGACGCTCTGCGGTGGGCCGGCCAACTCAAAACAGACAAGTGAAAACATTATCTGACCCACAATCCTTAGGCTGAGATGTCAAGCCTCACCAGTGCTGCGGAAAGTGTTGTTATCTTAACAAATCTGATATTAAACACACAGAAACACTGTAACACACCTAAGATAAGGAATCACACACGATTAGCCAGTTACACACACATCAGCATAACTCAACGCATTTCAGCTGAATTTCTGTGATGTTAGCATGTTGCTAAGCTAACAACACAATGCTTAAATAAGCAGAAAAATACAAATAGGCCTATTGGGTAAACTGGGATAAGTTTTAATTACATTAAGGTTTTATCCATTAATTTTGGTACTGAATGAAACACAAGTGTACTTTAAGTACACTAAAGTGGCGATTTATTTCAATATATTATATTATCTTCAAGTGTAGTTTTTTTAAATGTAAGATTTGAAGTACACTACAAGTACACATTCAATACTATTAAGTGCACTTCTTTTTCACAAGGGTATGTTTTGGTATTGAATGAATCTTTTCACGGAGCCTTAGCAGAAATGTAGTCAAAATGTAGTATCTTTGAATTGTACTGCCTCGTTTAAAACAACCTACATCGTGAGCAGTGATGTCTTACAAAGCTGTCTATAAAACTATAACAGGGTCTTATTAGTCACATTTGGAAAGTTTTCTAAAGTCTAAAAATAAACTCACCCAGTTTTCCTCGCTAGCTCATTCTGTCCCTGAGGTAAATCCAAAAAACAAAGTGCAGATTTACCATCCCACACACAGGACAAAATCATTAAACAAAGAACAGGAGTAAGATGGGTCGTTAATCTCCAGAAAATATGAGACGAGAGCTCATTTAAAGTGCTTCTTACTCAAACACACACACACACACACAGGTGTGGTAGGTATAATAGCTGCAGCTTTAGGGTTGTGGTCAAAAGCTCTCCGGGGAACACAGAGATCTGTTTTACACCGCGCTCTAAACCTGAACTCATTAAAGCAGCAATAACCTGATGATTACTGTAAGCTGTTCAAGATGAGAGAACACACGTGTGTGTACATGTTCATGTTCAGATCAACTCACGAAGAGAAATTACTTTTAATATAGTTGGCTTTGTGAAGAAATAGAGTGCATGCATGTGTGTGGCAGGACAACACTGTTTCAGTAATCAAAGCCATGCTTTTAATAACATGTTTTTATGAAAATAATACCTGTATAACCTAAAATCTTCACGGAAACAGAAATATCTGTCTTTATTACACCCAAATAAAAATGACATTTTAGCTGCATTGAGTTATGATCTGACTGATTTTACTTTTAAAGCATCCGTACCGTTATAAATGCAAACATGCAAGTATTTATATTTACACAGATTTCTCAGAAGCATGTTCAACTCAATCCACTGTGAATTGCAACAAATGCACTTCTTAATGATGATGAATTGCCTCTGATTCTCTGCCTTTAAAAGTGCATTAACTCTCTCTCGCTTAAACATGAAACGGGTCATAACTGTGTGCTTTTGCAGAATGGTTATAAATGCATGTTTTAATTCTTAATGTCTGTCTGTAGAACAGTTGTGTGTTGTATGTATGATGGGATCCAGCTGTTACTTCATAAATAACATTTCCTAAATACTAGCCAAGTGCTCAGATCTCAGATCTGAGGATAATACTGTGCTCTGATGTGCTCATTTTCAGCTTAAAGGAGTCATAACATGTATTTTATTATTATCATATATCATTGTTAGTATTATATATTATTTTAAATGTTATGTATTATATTATATATATTATATTGTATTCCATATATTACTTTGAAAATAATGTTATAAATATCTATCTATCTATCTATCTATCTATCTCAGGTAGCTGATAGAGTTGGTTGAACCTGAGGTGGACACACTCACCTGAGCGAGCGACAGATAGACAGACAGAGAGAGAGAGAGAGATATGTACACAACGGTGCTGCTCTCCTCCTCTCTGTTTCTCCTGCATGTGACCTGCACGCCTCAGATTCACGGTCACCATGGGTAAAAGCACACACTAGCATCTGTAGTGTCAGGAAATGTCAATTCTCATGCTCTTAAGGGGTCAGGGGTCAATATAAGGTTAAAGGTCAACGCATATAATAGCAGCTAATTACATCAGACTGTCATGTCCAGTTACAGCTGATGGGCAGCAAAGCTTTTGGTGCAAAAACAACGTACACATCTTCATTTTGTTCAAAAGTTTTCACCCCCGGCATTATTTTCTCTTGTGGACTATATGTGAACATCTTTTATGTGAAATATCTCATTCAGGTCAGTACTAAATAATAACTTGCATTTTGTATGATCCCTCTTATTTTGGTAAAAGAATTAACATTTAGCAGATTCTTCAAGGTGTATGTAAACTTTTGACTTCAACTGTATATACTGTACATACTACTGTCAGGTTTTTTGTTTTTCACTTTTATTCAGCAAGGATGCATTAATTTGATCAAAAGTGACAGTAAATGTATTTATAATGTTATAAAATGTTTCTCTTTCAAATAAATGCTTTCCATTCATCAAAAAGCCTGAAAAAATATATCATGGTTTCCACAAAAATATTAAGCAGCACAACTGTTTTCAACATTGATAGAAATGTTCCTTGTGCAGCAAATCAGCATATCAGAATGGTTTCTGAAGGATCATGTGACACTGAAGACTGGAGTAAAGATGCTGAAAATTCAGCTTTGCATCGCAGGAATACATTACATTTGAAAATATATTCAAATAGAAAACAGTTATAATATTTCATAATTGTACAGGTTTTACTGTATTTTTGATCAAATAAATGCAGCCTTGGTGAGCATACGTGGCTTCTTTCAAAAACATCACAATCTTACCAACAGTAGTGTATATATAAGCAGTGTTTGTGTGTAGGAGTGTGTTTGTGTATAATTGTGTGTGTGTGTGTGTTTCAGGAGGAGAGTGTGTGTTGGAGATGCTTGGAGTCGTCGTGTGTCTTACAGCACAGAGTCGTTTCTTCAGCCCGTACACAAACCCTACATCACCATGTGCCAAAACCACCGCATGTGTAGCACGTACAAGTAAGAACACAAAAACAAATGAACATACACATTACACTGCATAATGTATCAGCGTTTCACTGGACTGTATGTTTTACAGGACAATCTACAGGGTTTCTTACAGGCAGGTGAGCAGAGCAGCTCCTAATGTACACATTTACCCAGAATGCTGCCCGGGATGGCGACGCATGCATTCACACAACTGTAACCAAGGTAAACGGCCATCATACTGCATAACATGAGCCCTAAATGTGTTTTCTCTTGGATTTATAACTGCATGTGTGTGTGTGTTTTTACATATGCCTCTCTCTCTAGTGGTGTGTGAGCAGTCTTGTGCAAACGGAGGCTCTTGTGTAAGGCCTAATCACTGTGCATGTCTAAAAGGATGGACGGGACCATACTGTCAAACAGGTACTTGAAAACACACACAAATGTTCATTTACAGTTATGTTTATGGCACATGCTTTATAAACTGAGTACACAAAGAATTGATGTCCATGGACAAAACCAACAAATATACATATACAGATAAATACAAACACAATTTGAGACTATTTTTGCTATGTGCATTTATTTTAAAGGGCTTTTTTTTTTGCTCTTTTATTATTAATATAATGTTATTATATATATATATATATAT